CCCACCTCCCTTCCCCCCTCCCAACTTCCCAGAGCCCATACACGGTATAGCTTTTATCAAACACGGTCTTAAATGTATTACAACCAAGTAAGCTAGGAAAAAGAGGGGGGGAAAAGAAAAAAAATACATTGAACTCAGCTTCTTACCATTACACTAACTTAAGCAGTTTTTAGGTGGGTTTTTTCTTTGAAGGCGTTTCACTTCTCATCCAAGAAGCTTCTTCAGCTCTGACTGGATGGTGGGGAAAGTTAAAGCAAAATGTCTTCAAAGAAAAACCAGAAAGCCCAGTTGTCTCTTGAAAAAAAGCAACTTTAGCTCCACTCCAACGTTTTTCCTACAGATCTATGGTGATTCTCTAGGACAGTGATGGAGAACCTTTTTCTTATGGTGTGCCAAAATTGTGAGTGTGTGGGCTATTGCACGTGCACGCGTGGCCACACCAATTCAATCCTCCCTACCCACCCGTGCATGTGCGCGCAACCACCACTCCCGTGCATGCGTGCCTCCCAAGGCTCCGGAGGCTTTCCTGAAGCCTGGGGAGAGCGAAAACGGCCTATCCTGGCCCTCCAGAAGGCTGAAAATCAGCTGGCTGGCATGTGCATGCGCGCTGGAGCTGATGGCTGACATGCCAGCAAATATGGCTCCATGTGCCACTGGTGGAACGTGTGCCATAGGTTTGCCATCACAGCTCTAGGACGTATTTTGTGCCATGTGATTTAATTTTCTCCTCTTTGGAATTTGATACTGTGACTGATACTTATGAGAGATTAATTGAAAAGCAACTTGTCGCCTTTAAAAGTTATGATGTGTGACTGTGCGTCTGTGTGCAAACAGAGCAGATTCCTGTTTTCCCCAATTGCAAGAGTGGAACATGGTTCTCGCCCCCTTGTTTTAGGTCTCTTGCACTTGCACTGGGGTCCCTCTGCCTATGAATAAAAGAAGCTGACCACAACAGAAGCCTCTGCCCCTCTTCTGAAATTCCCCAGGGGAAGTTCAGAGCATTCTTCTCCAAAGTGAGGTTTCCATTCGATCCAAGCTGATATGGAAAAGACGAGGAATGCAGGAGCTGCACTTGAAGTATTACCTCCACAGATGAGGCAGATCGCGCTGAGCAGGCCTGTCTCGGTGTCATCCATTTCGAGGGGAAGCAATTGCCCAGCAAAGGCAAAAACCAAGTCGGTGAGGGGCCCAAAGCCAGCATTATGCATCTGGGTACGGTTCAAGGTCAGCCCATCTGAAAAGGTCATGGTGTCTTGTTCTGGAGTGTAGCGGACACAAATACGGAGCATCTGCAGAGGGTGGAGAAGGACAGAAATAAAGTCACCAGAGAAATATATTTTAGGGAGACCAACTTTGTTTTTTTCCCCCCCTCTTGTTTATTTCTGGTACTCCTATAACGTCTAATAAAGAAACTCTTTGGGCTCCATACGTGTTTTGAAACATTTTCATCGTGCAAAATGCAGTTTCCTGAGAACATCAGCCTTTCCAATAAATGTTGGCCTTTTCTCCTGCAATTATATACTTGGAAAATGCCCAGCAAAACCTCAGTAACCAAAGCTGAGCAAAAATTCTTGTCCTCAAAAAAAAGAAAAAAAGAAACGAAAAAGAAATCTGTCGAGGGGGAAGAGCTTTTCATGCTTCTGCCTGGCTCTTCCCAGCATTCACAGATGCATGAATTACTAAATGAGCATTACTTAGATACACAGCTACTTTGGGGATGGCCTTGGGACCTTGATCTGAAATTATTATTTTTTAAATCCTCTTGCTCTGTTTAAGGCTGTATGTATACCCACTCTATGTCCATGCAGGCCATTCCTGACCCCCACCGAGCTTCTAGACCAGAGGTGGGTTCCTACCAGTTTAGCCAAGTAGATAGTAACTCGGCCTGCCACGCCCCCGAACCGGTTCTCTCGTCGTTGGCGCCATCTTGGATTTTGGTTCTGCCCATGCGCAGAACAATCTTCATTGGAAAAATTAAATTCCCCCCCTTTTCTAACGTTGTGCGCATGTGCAGAGCTTTTTAGGTGCAAATGTGCATGCGCGGAGTACGCGTTTGGTGCGCACCGAACTGGCAGTAATGCCGGCAGCAACCCACCCCTGTATCCAGACCCTCTGCCCTCCAAAGGTCTGCAGCTCTGCCCCTTACCAGGATGTCCAAGCACGCTGCCTTCAGCAAAGTAATTTGGTCAGCAATGCTGAGGGTGGTAAAGCCGGGAAGGCGTTTGGCAAACTCTACTATCTTGATGATGCATTTGGTGGCCAGTTCGCTGAATTTGTCCCATAGGCCCAAGTCCAGCTGTATTCGGTGATCAGCACTGGAGTTCTGGAAGAAAAGAGAAGTCAGGCATTATGTTGTTTTTTCTTTCTCCACACCTCACGTCCCTCTGTGGGAACAAACACAAGACAATGTTACTCCAGAAGTCAGCATTCCTGTTCTGCCCCACCAAGTGGCCTCCTTCAGCTTAGTGGCTATAATTAGTTTGGGAATGCAATTCCTAGGATTTTCATTATGGATCAGAATTATGGAAAGTTGCAGTCTCAAAATGCAGCCAACAGGTTGAGCCCAGTGTTGGAAAATGCTGTTGGGATAGTGAACACTGCAGAAGCTGGTTTTAGCCTCCCAAAATTTTTTTTCTTAACTCTATGGGCATTTTTCTCTATTGTTTTCCCCACTCTTTTTCCCCCTTCCATTTGCCTTTCTTCTTAAAAATAATAACTCTAAACAATCCATAATAACAAAAGTGTTGAAGAAAAGTTACAGTATTACCTTTGCTGCTCACTGAGCAAATTGACAAAGCAAATGACAAGTTGTGCATTTAAGCTTAACTCATGAGAAGATTTAGGAATTCCCACATATGGGAGGAGGACACAGTGATCCTCCAGGTGTTGGACTACAACTCCAGTGCTACTTTTCATTGTTGACTGGACTGATGGGAGTTGGCATCTTAGCCATCCAGAGGGTCACAGCTGCCCCATGGCTGGATCAGTATATTATCACCATTAATAGCCTGAGAGAATTAGACTTATGTTCTGTTGTGTCCTAGTTTCTCTTAACCAGGTTGCTTGAAGTAAAAGTTTTATATGTTGAAGGGAAGAAGCTTGAAGTACAGATGGTTTTGCTTGAAGTGGAAGATGGCTATTGAAAAAACTATGAAGGAAACAATTCATGAAAATAAGTGGTACTTTCAGAAATTGGCTCAACACTGAGCAGGGAGTAAGACAAGGCTCTGTAATGTTTCATAGAATAGAATAGAATAGAATAGAATAGAATAGAATAGAATAGAATAGAACTTTATATAGTGTGATTGGACACACAAAGAATTTGTCTTTGGTGCATATGCTCTCAGTGTACATAAAAAGACAAGACACATTCGTCAAGAATCCTAAGGTACAACACTTAATGATAGTCAAAGGGTACAAATAGGAACCAGGAGTCAATCAATATCAGTATAAATCATAAGGATACAAACAACAAAGTTACAGTCCTGCAGTCATAAGTGGGAGGAGATGGGTGATAGGAATGATGAGAAGACTAATAATAATAGTAATGCAGCCTTAGTGAATAGTTTGACAGTGGTAAGGGAATTATTTGTTTAGCAGAGTGGTGGCGTTCAGGGAAAAACTGTTCTTGTGTCTAGTTGACTTGGTGTGCAGTGCTCTATAGCGTCATTTTGAGGCTAGGAGTTGAAACAATTTATGTCCAGGATGCGAGGGGTCTGTAAATATTTTCACTGTAAATNTATTGATTGTTTCCTAGTATGACTTGATTGCTTATTTGTACCCTATGACTATTATTAAGTGTTGTACAGAGGTGGGTTGCTCCCAGTTCGGCCTGGATAAGGCAAACTGGTAGTAGCGGTGGCGGGAGGTTCCGCCCACCCGCCCAGGTGCTTCTGTGCATGCGCAGAAGCAGTGCACAAATGTGCGAGTGTGCACGTGAGCTCACCCAAATCAGTATTAAAAAAATTGGCAACCCACCACTGGTGTTGTACCTTAGGATTCGTGACGAATGTATCTTTTCTTTTATGTACACTGAGAGCATATGCACTAAAGACAAATTCCTTGTGTGTCCAATCACACTTGGCCAATAAAGAAATCTATCTATCTAAAATGGGGCGGTAGGATCAGAACCTGCCTCCGAAAGTGCCCGGCAAGCACACAAGTGGGGGAGACTTATTTCATCAGCGTTGGAGATAGAAATACTGCACTTAGTGAGAAAAGAAATCACAGGAGGCTTTTGACTTTCCATCACTTTATTTTGTAAAAATAGAAAAGTCCCCCCCACCCCCTTCTGCGGCACAGCTGGGAGTGTGCGGGGGCAGGGAAGAGTCCTGTAAAATACCATGGAAAGCTGGTTATGTAAACATCCAAGAAGGGCCTCACCCTTTTTTTAATATAGCTTTTCTATCCCACCCCACCACAAATAAGACCCCCATTTTAAGGCCCCAGGGTATTTATTTTGACAGCTTATTTTAAGGGGGGGGGAACCGTTCAGCGGGAGGCTCTGTTCCTTGGTGCGCTGCAATCTGTCAACACTTGCTCTTGCCGGGGGAAAGGAAGGGCCAAGCTCGAACTCCCTTTACCACCCCATTCCCTGGTGTAAACATAAGTCAATAAATAAAACCTCCTCGAGAGGTTGCCCTGCTCATGGCCGACGAGGGAAAGAAAGCAGCCTCTTGAACTGCAGAGGGAGCAAAAGGAGGCTGCTGACTTTAACCCACCCCGCAGCCCCTCCCTCCTTCTCTACCGCTTGATGAAGGCTTCCCAGAGGAAGGGAAGAAAAGGAGGCCGAGACAGAGGGAGAAGCTGGTCATGGCGAAGCATTAAGCAGAAGGCAATAACTTTGATATAACAACTCCTCCCCCCGCCTGCCCAAGCTGTGTAGTGTTTGGGTTTTTACATATTCCTATGGCTGAAGGCGGCGAGAGACTTTGCGGAGGAGACTCCTGCCCTCTGGCGGTAAGGAAGAGAGCTTTGGCTGGACTCGCGTTTCGTCCCTGGAGTTGTGAGAGAGAGAGGAGCAGAAATGGCTCCTCGTCTCAGCCTGGTGGAGCGAAATCAAGCTTCCCGGAGCAGAAGTGGTCCTTCTCGCTCCATCAAAGTGCTGCAGAAAGAGAAGTTAAAGGCAAGTTAAGGCAAGCCGTGCCCACCCACCCAACCGGCTTGCCTTTTATCATCCTAGAGACTGACTGACTTCTCCTTGATGTGGGCAGAAAGCCCCCCTCCCCGAAAGACAGCAAACAGGTTCAAGTCTCTAACTCTGCACCCCCACACACACACCGCCCCTCATCAGCACGATATCTTTGGTTATCTAGTGTCCTTTGGGGTCCGTTCCCCAAAATTCTTAGCACCGGGGTCATAAGTATCCCAAGCAACAGATACACCCCTCCAACCCACCCCGACCCTGCTATACCTCTGCCTTGGGATGGGGAGACAGTGGGAAGGACCACTGCCCCTCCCAAAATCCCACTATGGGATCGGCTCTCTGCCCTGCGATAATAACACAATAGCGTTTTATAAAGCTAACCAAAAGGAGCCCCTCCCCCACCCCCAAGAATTCGCATAGCTTGCCGGAATCCATCCGAGAAGGATTTTTTTAATACAAGCACACCCTGAAGGCGACATGTCTAGGGATGCGTACATAGAAGTCCTGCCTTTGTCTTCTCCGTTCCCCAACATTATTGGTCCAAGGTCTCTTGTGTGCAACGGGGAGAGGAAGGGTCTCTTGTCTCTTGTGTTCCTCTGTTGGTCTTCAGATTCTTGAATAAATAGCATCCCGGGTGCCAGGCTTCCTGGCTTGCAAGGCAGAAGGACGAAGTGGGTTTTAGGCTGTGTTGAAGGAGGAACCAAGAAACCGCTCATTACAGAGTCTCCATTGGCTCTTGGGGTGCCCCTTTTTCTCAGAGGCTGAAGAGTTTATGGGGAGGGAAATTGCACGTGTGGAGCTCACCCCATTTTGAAAAGGGGGACCTCCGAGTTGTAGCCCCTTTGGGACTTCCCAGGTGCTGAACATTTGGCTTTGAAGCTGCTTGAGTCATCTGGAGAGGCAACCTGGGGGCTTTGGCAAAGCTCTGGGGTTGGGAGAAAAGGCTTCTGAATAGAAATCCAAGGCCCCAAAGGAAAAAAAATTAAGGCAAGAGGCATCCAGCCCACGTCACCAGAGGAGGAGAGAGGAACAGGCTGCTGGCTGCCTCCTTGCTCATCTTGACTGCTGTCCTGATGGCCGGCAGATGAGCCAAGAGCAGGAAAGGTAAGCCTAAAACTGTATCAAGGAGGAAATGGGCCATGGGAAGGCAGAGATGAGATACAGAAAACCATCTTCTCCCAGCCTTTCTCAGCCTAGATCCAGGCTTTCTTGAGGTGCTAAGGGGTCTCCTCTTGGCTTTTGGTGTCAGCTGGGCTCTCCTCAGTGCTCGGAGCTTCTGCTGAAGTTGGAGGTTGTGACAGCTCATCTTCAAACATTTCAGGATTTTCCAGCATCTCTCGGATGAGTGGTGGCATGGGACCAGGGATCTCCATCTTCAAGGTGATGGCCCGTTCAGCACCTGTGGAAGAGCAGAAGAGGGAAATGTAGTAACATTGGTTGATGGGAATTCTCCCATGATGAAGATCAGGTAAGAAGAGAGGCTGCATTATTTTACATTAAGAACAGTTGCCACAAGCTTCTTGTTGATACAACAGGTAGTCTTCAACTTACAGCAGTTCATTTAGTGACTGTCCAAAGTTACAGCAGCACTGAAAAAAGCGACTTATGATTTTTCCCACTTATGACTGTCCCCCTGGTCACGTGATCAAAATTCAGCCACTTGGCAACTTACATATTTATGACGGTTGCAGTGTCTCAGGGTCACGTGATCACCTTTTGTGAACTTCTGACAAGCAAAGTCAATGGGGAAGCCAGATTCCCTCAACACCCGTGTTACTAACTTAATAACCGCAGTGATTCACTTAACAACTGTGGCAAGGCAGGTCATAAAATGGGGTAAAATTCACTGAACAATTGTCTCACTTAACAAAGAAAAGTTTGGGCTCAGTTTTGGTCGTAGGTCGAGGACTATCTGCACTGCAAACTTAGAGAAGCTACCAATGTATCTAGGACTTCAGTTCACACACTGGCTGTCTGCACATATATCCAAGACTCTTCATAACAGTTACAGATACAGTTCTACAGAGGAATTATTGAGTCTCACTGCACATCTATAACTGTCTGGTTTGGTTCTGCAATCCAACAAGACAGAAACAGACTTCAGAAGATAATCAGAACTGCAGAAAAAACAATTACTACCAACCTGCCTTCCATTGAGGACCTATACACTGCAAACGTCATAAAGAGGGCTGCGAAAATATTTACAGACCCCTCGCATCCTGGACATAAATTTTTTTAACACCTGCCCTCAAAGTGACACTATATAGAGCACTGCACACCAAGACAATGAGACACAAAAACACTTTTTTCCCCGAATGCCATCATTCTGCTAAAGAAATAATTCCCTCCCCACTGTCAAACCACTAATGCTCCATTACTATTACTATTAGTCTTCTCATCATTCCTATCACCCATCTCCTTCCACTTATGACTGCAGTATTGTAACTTTGTTGTTTGTATCCTTATGATTTATAATGATATTGTTTCCTGATTGCTTATTTGTACCCTATGACTATCATTAAGTGTTGTACCTTAGGATTCCTGATGAATGTATCTTTTTATGTACACTGAGAGCATATTCACCAGAGACAAATTCCTTGTGTGTCCAATCACAGTTGGCCAATAAAGAATTCTAATCTATTCTATTCCTATTCCGACCCATTCCTGTTCCTGTTCCTGTTCCTGTTCCTATTCCTATTCCTATTCCTATTCCTATTCCTATTCCTATTCCTATTCCTACTCTATAACCTCTGTGTGAGGAACCAAAAACTTTTAGTGAAGGGGTTGTGTCAAAGCTCTGGAGGAAATGCTTACAGGACAACTCCTCCTTTTTCTATAGCTTTTGGAAGAATCTTTCCACTGACCACCAATTACAGGCTATGCTATGAGCAAGAAGCAGAGTAAACCAGATCAGTAGGCATCCTCCACACTGCAGCAAGCCAAATAGTGTCGCAGTAATTAAAAACAGAAGCCATTCACCTCTCTTTAACCATAAGTTTATGGTTCCCAGCGTGACATATTTTGAGACTGCTTCAGGAGAGCCCCATGACAAAACCTCCAAACGTTCCCACCCACCTCCAATGATCTGACGCTCTTAAATGAGAATATTCCATTTTACCTTTGGTACTGATCCCCCGCAGGTCAGTAATTTTCATGAGCATGCGAGGAAACATGTAAGGCTTGTTGGGCCGGCGTCGGCGCGCATAAATCTTCAGCGCTTCCAACAATGGTTCCTGCAACTTATCTACTTTTTCCGGCTCTTCCAGGTCCATTCGATCTATGGGGAAAAGAAAGACTGTGATGCTGTGGAAAAATTCTTTTTTTTTTTTACTACCGGTTCTGTGGCCATGGCTTGGTGGGTGTGACAGGGGAAGGATACTGCAAAATCCCCATTCCCTCCCCATTCTGGGGCCAGGCAGAGGTGATATTTGCTGGTTCTCCGAACTACTCAAAATGTCCGCTACCGGTTCTCCAGAACCTGTCAGAACTTGCTGGATTTCACCCCTGCTGTGATGGGTTTGTTCTGTTGCTTTTGAACATTCTAGGCTGGTTCAAGACTGTTTCACGGAATACAGAGGGAATACCAGTTTTCACCTCCAATTGAGCATTCTTAATCCTTGTGGATTGCAGGGCAAAAAATAATAATACCATAATTTTTGGAGTATAAGACACACCTTTTTCCCACAAAAAAGGGGTGAAAATCTGGGTGTGCCTTATACACTGAATACAGCATTATTTTGCCTCCTGAAACCATGCCCACTTCATCAAAATGGCCATGCATAGCCTTTAGGAGGCTTCCAGAGTGCTCCTGAGGGCTGGGGAGGGCAGAAATGAGTGAAAAACGGGTCGTTTCTGCTCAGTTCTGCCCCCCCCCATCCCCAGGAGCACTCTATAAGCCTCCTAAAGGCTATGCATGCCCCCCCTTTTTTTTGACAAAAAACAGGCCCACTTTTGCGAAAAATGGGCCGTTTTTGGGAAGTCTGCAGAATGCAAAAACTTTTTTAAAAATTTTGCCTCTTCAAAATCTTGGTGCATCTTATACTCCGAAAAATACGGTAATTACCAAAACAATTAGGCAGTAGGACTGCCTCTTAGGGTTTCTGCTTGACCAAGCTTCATTGTTGTTTACTTTTTGTCACTACATGCTATTTTTTCCCCTTTCCCCTTCCTTTCATAACAGGCAATGCAATTCTAGTACCGTGTCAGGAAAAATAAATAAATAAATAAGGGCTGGCTTTTATGCTCCATCTAGTCCATGAGGAGAGAAACTGGGTGGATGATTTCTCCAGGGGGGACAGAGAAATTTTCTCCAATACATTTTCAAAGGCTGTGGATGAATTATAGCACTGCTCCTGAAAACATATTATGGGAGGACTTCTTAGTAATGTCTTCCCCAGAGACTAGATTGAAGGGCATTGAAGGTAAAGGTAGAAGTGAATGTATAATAAAACACAGCATATTCGCATGCGTGCCCACACACCACTTCATCACTACATCTTTCAAATCTCATCTGTTCATGATCAACTACCTTCACCCACAAAATAATTTCTAAATTCTCTGCCATAAAAAAGAAACCTGATAGAAAAATATGTGAAAGAACAGAACTTTGTTTATGTAATCATATATACTTTGTCTAGGGCACATAACTTTCCCTCCTCCACCTTTTAATTTAGAAATTACTTCATTTGAATTGCTACTAGTCTTTAGACTTTACAGTGGCCCACTCCAATGTCTATGGAGATTCTCAATCATCCAGGTCCAAAGGTGCTTTTTCGTAGTGCAAATTGTTTTATTTCATTTTCATTTCATACAGTCACATATATACTGTGCATGATTGGGGCCATATAACATTGAGCAATAAACACAGCCTTCCTTGTATTCCCCAAAATACAAAACCAATATAACGCTTCAACCCTCCATACGCCCTTTCTTTCTCCCCCCTCCAACTTTCCTTACTCCCCTCCAACTTTCCT